TAGCACTGTTCAAGCCATTTCTTTAAATTTTTTTATTGAAAGCTTCAAACTGTCATTCATAGGCTACTATGTATTATTTTTTCTTGTTAAAACTTCACAAGCAGAACTTCTAAATATTATTAAATCCAGTGTATTGCCCAATTTTTCTGCTGAAGGTTTTATTCCCGCTTTGTCGATCACAGCTGCAGTGCCTGCCAAAAGAGTGAGAGAGATAAGGCCGTTGAATATTAACTGGAATTTTCACATCACCGAATTTTTGGTCCGTTATCCGCAAAGCTTGGCGATTGCTTTGAGTACTGAGGTGAACACATTAAGTAATGAAAAATCTGTCAATTTAAAAACCAAATTTTTGTTTTGGTCTTATGTTCTTGCTGGTTGCCACACTAGTTTATTTCTTTACATACGCGTTCCGATACTATTGATAGCTCATTATATTAGTATAACATTGACGACGTAGCTTATTTTTGCGAACTTATCTAATCAAAATTTATGTTTACATATATGTATATAGTATTATTTTATATATAAGTAACAATCACAGCTTATATACAAATTCGAACCCAGTCAATATTTCATTAGTGACGATTACTGATATTTTTCTTTGTACTGCAGCTCGAACACATTCAAAATCATTGAACCATGTTTTATTAACACACAAACCTGGCCACTTATAAAACAAGTCAACTATATTAAAGTCGAAAATACACTTGAATGCAACAATTTCAAAAAAGTTAAGCTGCAAAAGTAGTTGAAACCATTTTTAACACTGAGGTATATTACATACATATATATATATAGTAATTCATTTTGAACAATGGCGATGCTTTGAAGATCATTCTGCTGTAATAATTTCTCTATATTAAACCAGCAGAATCGCAAATATTAGCAGCCTTTGAGAGATTACAAAGTGGAAACACTTTCGAGTGTTCTTTAATGCGCTGATATTGGCACACCAGCAGCGAAATACTTGTATAATGAATATGACTCCTTTTGGCATTGGGCTTATACACGTATTCGTTGGCCGATCGCTAGGGTAACTGAATATAGTAGTTTTTAATATAAAAATAACAACAAAGGAAAGGTTAGTTTGAATTCTTATATTAAATTCATAAACACATACAAACATTCAATTTCGCCTGTTTATACAAGTCTGTAGTATTTTCGTAAATAATAGCAGCCAGTTTTTGTTCTAAGCAGTCATAGCATTCTCAGATCGAAACCGTAGCCTACAGGTCTTCAACAGCGATAGTCATTATAACGAAAAGAGGTAAAAGGCAAAAACTTGACATCCCTGACAGTACTACAGTCAGCAAACAGTCTGTATTATAGAAGACTTTCGTACGTAGAACCTTCTACGGCATTTTGACGGTATACCAAAATGCCCAAAATATTAAAACGTGTATTGGCGAATATTTTAGCAAGGTGAAGCCTAATACCGACACATTTTTTGCAGCATTTGAAAATAAAGTATATCGGTGCTGTGCCCAGTGACGATTGCTTGAATATACCAAATGGGTCTTGGAGCCTCCTGCATCTCAAATCAGCAAAGTATTCGATAAATGAGTTTTTTCATATACAATAATATTAAATTATTTCTGTAGTTAATGCGGTTGACCTGACCCGACTGTAAAAAAGTAAAGTAAAAAGTAAAAAATAGTCCGATTGCGCTCATAAATGCATACAGATACACAGAACCTATGACCAATGAACATCTCCAATAGACCGATATCGGATGAAAATATATATTATGCTATACTATTATGATCTGTCATTTGTCATCCGTCCTTACTTCCGATTAAACGTCAAGTGTTCCAAGTAAAACTTTCGTTAAAGAAGATGAAGACTTCTACTAAGTGAAGAAATCTGTTTTTGCAAACCTTTAATTTTCTATAAGTAATTTTCTACATCTTTTATATATTATATATACGAGTATATAGTATTAGAGTATGCCTAGTATGCACTGTCAGATAGATCAACATAACATAACTTTAGAATAATTTTAGATAAGGCACTCGCTTTCTTTAAAACTATGACAACGATATAAAGTACCGACATAAAATACAAGAAGTTTTGTTATATGTGGACTTGGAGTATTCTGTTATCCAATTATTTTACGTACCCTTTCCGACTAGTGGTGGCCTTCGCTCTTACTCAGAACCCGAATATCCAAAACGGCTCCTTGCATAGCGCCATCGTTCACACTCTATTATACATATTAGAAGACTGATGGTTAGAGATTTATGTATATGGAGGTATTTTTCTTATCGATGTTAAGTTATTTTATAGGAATTTGAAGTTGTTGTTGCTTTAAGAAAAACTAGAAATAATAGATGTCTATATAAATTATTAATAGTAAAATGTATATATAAAAATTGTGTTTTCCATAATTCTTGTATACAAATCATATACCAACTTATGTATTCGTTCATTAAAAGTCAGTTTGTGACTACAAACTTGTGCGCTCAATACGCCTATTGCACTCACGGTGGATTCTTCATTGACGCACAACAACATAAATGCAATAATAACCGTGGTAATAATAATAACTGGCAAAAACAACAAAAACGCATTACTATTTGCACATAGGAATAATTTTTGTGTGACGCCATTGGGGGTTTGACATTGGACCAAATATTTTCTATATTTAGGGGTAAATTTAGAATTGAGTAGAAAAGTAAATAGAGAGCAAAATATATTTGTGCAATAGTTGCATATACAATATATGGAACTATATACTATGTACACTTACAAATTCAGCGTTATAAAGGGTAATTTAGAGGGCCATGCCTGAAGTTCACATGCATACATCCATAAACATACATACATAGATATACTTATGTATTAAGGTACATTCACATACACGCGCATTGTAGGCCTGTTAAGTCCTATAATTACTCGGTAGTCGCATTAGAGTTTACTTTCACGCTCTCGCCCTATTTCTACATAAGTAGATATACAAACACATGCACATACACATTTACAGCATTAACTTTGCTGTTGTTGTTAGCTCTGTTGATTCCAAATTCTGATTGGAAATATATGACATTCATTTAACTGTATTTACGCAAATATCGCATATGTCACTTATTTTCATGTTCTTCAATGCGCATTCGGTTTGGTCACTTAGGCGGTAAAATCGATAGAGTTGCTGACGTTAGTGGCGCCCCTATGGAGGTAACATGTTGTAGTTATTGCTGATGTTGCAAATTTTTGTATGCTGATTAATGATTACGTCACCCTTATGTTGGCTTTTGTGATTTTTTTTTAATTTAACGTCATTAAACAGGCGTGAAAATGTGCGAACATCACTATTTATTTTATACCCCACAGAGTTAAGTATGTTTTATTGAAATTCGTTACTTATGTATATATTAAATATATGTTATACTGTTTTACTAGGACTTTACTTATTGTATATATTCATACATAATTATAAACAGACATATATGTATGCCTATATTTTGTTAAACGCAATTTTAAATAAAGTTATAGCGTTTTGGAAATTCATTCATATTAACTGCATTCTCTGTGTCTTTGGTTTGACATGAACCTTTTTAATAACGAGTAACCGTTCTAACTCACTTTCATACAGAGTGAAAATGCGTTAATTCGGATGATAACAGGCCCACCCCCATATAATGGTTATTTTCAAAACTACTAAAAGTGCGACAACTAATAATCAATTCAAAGTCAGAGGCATTAAAATTTACTGTCAAGGTAGACGATGTCAAAATGGAACTTCAGGCAATATCCTAAATCTCAGGTACTACTCTACCAATTTCAACATTCTTTTACTACATAGTAAAAATCAGACTATAACCAAGCCTACTTCCCATATATCATATTTTCAACATCCATAAGATTATTTCACATTGCAGTATATAAATCAAGTACGAATGAAGTTATCGGAAAAAAAGTTTATTCAAATATTATAAGTAAGCCCGAATTTTTGACTCTTTTTCGGACCCGATAAAAACATAACAACTAATATTTTTTCTATAAATTTTTTTATATTTTTTTTATTGAGATTTAAAGAGTACAAATAATTTATAATATTACAAAAAAAAAATATCAAAAAATTCCAGGCCGGCAAAGTGGGGTCTGATGAAAAAATGGCAGCAACCTGAAATAAAAATTGTTGAGTGATCCTTAAAGAGGAAGGATTTAGTTATATCAATACGAGAGGGTTTTGGAATAATTTTTTTTTCACAAAATGGCGGCTGTTTGAAAAATATGTTTCGTTATTTCCCTGTTTTTTTGCCGTTCGGAATTTTTAACAATAAAAAAAAAAATTTCAAAAACTCTCTCGTAGTGCAATAGTATAATGTATAAAGAAGCTCTGTTTAAAATTTCAAGTAAATCGATTAAGTAGAACATGAGACCGTTTCTAAAAAAAGTCACTATTTATAAAATACTTGCGTTTGAACAGTGTTGTATTTGAAACAAAACGAAAACTCAACTGAGCATAGTATGAATTTATTTTTACAAAATAAGTTAAAACGATTACCCGATTCTCAGATCGTCACTTTTAAGAAATATAGATATGAAGTACAAAAAACCTTGAGGCAGAGCTTCTGGTAGTCAAAGATTGCTCGCCGTCTATTGTTCGCTCGCTCTTGCCGAGCTGCCAGTAGATTTTGTCGGCGCAACACAAAATGACCTGTAACTCTAAAAACAAAAAATTTTAATTAAAACAAAAATTTTTTAGGGACATACCACATATTCTTAAAGGGTTATACTACAAAATTATGCAAAAACAAATTGATTTTTTTACATTTCTAAACCAGAATACCACCTTAAGTTAAATTGATTCCGAATATTTCTCGAAATCGGACCGTAAGTTTTCAAGTCCCTAGATATGTTAACCTTAGAGCCTGTGACTGACTTACACATACCCAACATAAAGACTTTCGAACTTCCGGTTGGCTTTATACCGTGTATATCGGTCAATAAGCAAGATATCTTAGCAAAAACCAGTGAACGTATAATATTGGATATACTGTAGTTTAATGCAGTAAATGAGTAATAGGCAGGCTTTGATCCTTGCGGATTTCGAATGTATAAAATTCTATTTTAATTAAAATATATATAGAATTAATTTCTCTCCATTAATAATTAGAAAATAACGAAAAATTATTAAATGCGAAATAACTCAAAAATTAATTGGATAGGAAATGAATATCCCACAGTGACAAATTACCAGTAACAACAGTAATAATAATTCACCACAGTAACAAAGAAATAAGTGCAATAAAGTACAATATACAATAAAACTCTCTACATAACAACCGAAGGACAAAGGTAACGAAGAGAAAAAGTAAACGGAGCAAACAAAATTATAAATGACAACAATAAAGATGACACGCAGCATAATAAAGGGAAAGAAGCTGTGAAATTGCGAATATTAGTACATGCTGAGCAATAAAAAAGATATATGCAATAATAAAAATTGCCGAGAAAGGGTGTAGACGATAAGGATGGTTGCGGACAGGAAGTGACAAGACGAATAGCACGATTTTCGATTTCGATTTTTTTTTTTGACGGCCACGAAAATATTTGGCATGCGACCAAAAAGCAAACAATTTTGAGACAAGTAATGTGCATAAGCATTAGGATGGGTAAAAGAAAAAACGATTTTTTTCGCTTGGTAGCCTGAAAGTTTCTTCATGTATGAGGTCTTAATTGTAACGAGAAGGTCCTCCGCCTTACAGATTTCTATTTTTTCTAATTATCAGATACTTAAAAAAATATCTCGCTTCATAGATTTTGTAAAACATTGAAAGCTCTACAAAAGGTCCATCACAATTTTTTCGTAAACCTAACTGTTTAAAAGATATTAACGATTGAAGTTTGGTTATTTTGAGCAAATTTTTCTTTCTTATAAATTTTATAACTCAATGTAAAAGAATCATTATTAATCATAAAACTTAAGGTTTTATAGTAAATTTATTGCTCTAGAAAAGATTTTTATCTTGATTTTTATCGGTAAGTTCAAATGGCAGCTAAATGTTATAGTGGTCCGTTCTGAACAGTTTGTGCGGAAATTATAACGTTGACTTGGGCAATAATCCATGCCAAATCTTTGTCAAATGCTGCTTAAACGAATTAATAGCTTTTTGTGGAGCAAAGAAAAATAATCACAATAACTGAGGGACTAGCTCGCATTTATAAAGACAAATGGGCATGCGAAAATCAAATCAGCTCGTCACGTTGATCATTTATTTATACAAGGAGCGTTCCAAAGTAAACAGGACTTTAAAAAAAAAACAGAACAAATTGTTTTATCGGCAAAGTCAATTAATTTTATTCAAAAAAGTCTCCTTCTGCTTTAATACAGCTTTTTGCACGGTCCAAAAGCATGTCGAACGAGTGTTTTAGCTCGTTGCCCGGTATAGCCGACAGTATGCCGGTGCAAGCCTTTTGAATGGCCTCCACGTCTGCTTAACGCTTTCCTTTCATCGGCAATTGCATTTTTCCGAAAAGGTAGAAGTCGCACGGTGCCATTTTTACTGGAAGTCGATAAAGGATTGCAGATTCTAACGCACTAGTCGACATATAGATGGCGCCACTAGAGTTTACTTTGTTACTTTGTTACTTTTGTACTGTTTACTTTGGAATGCACCTTGTATATATACTTTAAGTGTCGTAGATCCTTTCTTTCTGAGTGTTACAAAATTCATGGTAAAGTTAATATAACCTTTTTAGGGTTTAAATACCATACATATACGTTGGGAGATAAACTGATAGCGATGTCAGCAATAAATGGTAAAAAATACCAATGTGAGCAAGAGCAAATCCAAACGAGTCATACTCTATAAATGAAGGGATATGCCGTTGCAAAAGCAGCTGGCTGGCTCGTTGGATGGCAATGACGCCATGCTGATCGTTAACCTAACCTTTAAGTTAGACAAATTCACAAGCAACACAAATACTTTCATACACAAGCGGTAATAAGGCGTAAAAGGACACTAATTGTAAAAAGTCATTGAATATCCTGCAGAGAAAATCATATAGCAAACATGTACATATGTACATTTTCATTCTAAATTTAACACAACAACAAAACAGTCAGAACTGGGTACGTACATACATACATATATGCATCTACATATGCACATTAACATCTACATTTCAGCCACAAACCATAAAAACCAAAATTGCAACAATTTAAATTTCACACTCTGCAATGATTTCCGGTGCGCCTGAGAGCTGTCGCATACACACAAGTCATACAATTTAACGAAGTCAATTTAATACAGTTTTAAAATTTCCTGTTCGAATAAGTATTTTCACACCTTGCCCTCTAGCCGCACAGTTATTTTTGTTTTTGTTGTTGAAGTTGCTTTTATATTTACTTTTCGCTATATCATTCTTGGTTGTTGTTTGTGCGATACTCTGATTGCCCACAGGATATCGCACATGCCACAAACGAGTGCACACAATTACGTTATCCCTGCCGCAAAGCCAACCACTCGGCTTTGGCCGCACGCGAATTGAATTGGCCCAAAAGGCACTTGGCCATACAACGCAGCATTCAGCGTGCGCCAACTACACGTGCCATCTCACTCACTCGCTTCTGGATTTGCCGCTGGCACGTTCACCCGCACATAAACACACAACCAGTTGTGAGGCCGCCCGCCACAAACACGCCTCTTCCACCACTCAGCGCACGCAGATTCCTACGCACGCGTCTGCTAGCGGGAGTCTTCTCATTCGTCCTCAGCGCCAATTCTTGTTTTACAACAATTACAATTGCAACAACCTACGGCGCCAGGATCCAACTGCTTTGGTTGTCTGTTTTTCTTTTTTTTCTATTTCTATTTTACCTTTTTCATTCCTCTCAATTCTTCATACTTAGTAATGTTAAAAGTTGTGCTTCGCTTATGTCATGTGCCACCGCCAACTGTGGCGTTGTTATTTGTAATGAAAATTTTATTAGCCCTCCCCCATTTTGTTCCGTTGGTTTTTCTGCATCCACATACATACATACATATGTGGAAGTGTAAGTGTTGTCCGGCAGTTTCACTCGCTTCACCACAGGTCCACAGTCATTGTCATTCTTCATTATCCTGCGGGTTTGTCATCTTACCGCCTTCTCGACAAAATTGTCCGGAGGGTACAGTTGTTCAGAGTTCATTACGACCGGATTAACATCTGCTGCGATTTCCGATTTCATTGTTTGTCATCGGTTTTATTTGACAAATGGGCGATTTGTTTGCAATTCAATTGTAAAATTTGTAATAATGTTGATTTAACACTTCCGCAATATTCCAGCTAACTTAAATTCGCTCATATTGTAATGCGACTGGGTGTAACCATAAAATTACTTTGAGTGTTCTCAATATTAAATATTTAGTATTATGCGTGGCAATAGATAAACTTATGTATTCTATTATCCATACACATATCTTTTTTATGATTTTTTTTTTAATAATTTTGTTCGTCCCAATCTATGAGCTATCATTTGAAATTGTAGAATTTTTTTATTATTTTAATTTTATTTTTTACAATTGTACCTTGTATATATAAACAAAATACTAACAAAGAATTCTTTAAATTTAAATTTTCAAACAGCGAATGCACAGTGGTTCACGCCATATGTCAAAAATCAAACAAAACTCAGAATTTTCTGTCAAAATGTATACAAATTGCCTCTAAAATGTCGAATCTTCTTATTAGTAAACCGTTTTTCGCTGAAAATCAAACGGTACTTTCTAAAAATAGATAGATATGATATTGAGAATAATGGCTGCTCGCAACAAAATACCAGTACCAATATGATTCAATGAATATAATGAGCTAATCGTATGGAAATCGACCGAAAATACATCTCAGCAGAGAGCAGAAAATGCTCGTCGGGGTTATTCAAAGGTTAATTTTTCGGAGTCTTTACGGCGAACAAAGCGACAGCCTGACCAAAATAGATGAATCCACTGCCTTGGCTAAATGCCAATACTTGCTTATTAAAAACCTCGTGAATAGCAAAATCCTTTGATATATTTCCAAGCTATTAAGGTATAGTAAAATTACAAAAAAGATACCCAGAGAATATTTTTGTAGACGGATCTCATGCTGAAGTCGAGTCGAGTTGAAAAGTTTATTAGACCATACAGCACCGAGCATATTGGTGCTTCAAGGGAATGTAGTCGAATCAATCACGGGTGATTCAATTGAAAATGTAAAATTGGAAAATGGGGATTTGTTGGAAGTACGGATCATACTGAGTATAAACAAAAATCTTTAAATAATAATTTAGTAGACAAGAGCTTATTTGTTACATCATACGTACCCCTTCAACTAATTTCAAAAAGTGACCATACAATAATTTGGAAAAACGCCCGGCCTTCATCAACACATTACTGCAGACCAGTTTTAAGTTCTTCAGTGCACAGGTCTTACTTCATCTCTGATGATCTGATGTGATAGAACATGCGCTTGTATCAACCAGAAAGCTTTCGGAGGAAGCTGCAGAGTCAAACCAAAAGGTATTAAAGAATTGTAGACTCAATCACAGCATGTTGAATTCACTTCTTTAACATTCGGACCCATTTACAACTGGGCATAGAAAACAAGGAACGAAGGATAAGTCAACGTCACTTCAATCTGTACCATAATCGACTTACTAGAGGGGGCATTATAAGTTTTTGTTATAAATGTTGAATGGCTGTGTAAAATTTAATGTATTCAATTGATTTTTTCCTACATAAGTTTTTGATATGATATTATTTTTATTGGTGAGCATGAAAGTTGAATGGGGTTTGAATGGAAGAAGACTTTGACGACAAATCATATTTAGCTTTTTTCCCACTTTCTTAAATATTTTTTTGAAAGCCTCATTGTAAGTTTTGGCGCTCCGCTACCATGAGAAGTATTTTTGTGCATCATCGCCATATCGAGTAGAGGTCGCAAAGGAGATGCTTGTCAACGTTGCTGAGAACCCTACATTCATCAAAAGCAACATTACTAGTGAAAAGACATGGGTTTAGAAATATGACGTCGAAACCGTTCAACAATTTAGCGAATGGCGCTCAAAAAATGAGCCGAAACCGAAAAGACCACGTTAAAGTCTGTCCAAAATACAAGTGAATCTCATCAATTACTTTGATCAACGTGGTGTGGTTCACCATGAATTCGTACCACAGGCTCAAACGATCAATATATAAAACCACTTGGCCGTTTCGGGCCGTATACGTGAAGCAATTCGTCTTAAACGACAGAATGTGTGGGCCGAAAATTTATTGATTTTTCACTACATTAATGCGCCATCATTGTGACTGACTTTTTGGCTAAACACAAAACGATACATATTCACCAGATTTGGTTCCCTTCGACTTTTTTCGATACCGAAAATAAGTAGACTTTTTGAAGGCGTTTATGAAAATTTGCACAAAAATTCATGAAAATACGTTTTTCTGTCAGAATTGATCAGATGTTATAGTGCAATTAATACAAAGATTGTTTCCGACCGACGCCGACGTAGGTTCGAATATGGTCAAAAAACTGTTATTGTACGTCTGTTTTCAAGAAAATGTGACATTTAAATTCCACTGACTGACTGATATAACTTAATGTTCGGGTCTGCACGAATACATCCACTCCTTACTTTTCATGCCTTTTAATAATAAGTTTTAAACATATTAAATGAATATTGTCTTCATTGGAGTAGTAAAGTCTTCGTCTTAGCCAAAGTCATCGCGTTTATAATTCTTGTTGTTGCTTTCTAAAAAAAAAACGTATCCATTAAATATTTGAAGAAAATTTAAAAAAGTATTGCATAAAGCAATTAGTAAAGTTGGAAAAGCAAAGGCATTAACCATTTTCCCCACCCACTATTTATCACTTGAGTAATGTAAATTTCATTAGCATTTCCACGTCACAGTTTGAAGCATTTTCCGTGGCCCTTCACCACATGAACAAAACTAATGAGCAACAACGGAACAACAATAAATAAAAATAATTAAAATAGCATTTAGCAACAACAGCGAGGTGCATTAACAAAAAAGTGAGCCAACAACAAAAATTTGATGTTTTTTTTTGGTTTTGAATGAAACAAAAAATTATTAATTTAAAAATGAACGCAGTTTCATAATTACAAAATGACTTACGAAAGGGGTGAGTATAACGGTGGCCCAGATGTCTATGGGGATATGGCGCAAGTACAACATACATACATGCATACATGCACACATTTACGTGTATATATTTATGTGTACGCGAGTACACGTATGTGTGTTGTTAGGAAATGGCGACCAACCCGTTTCAACGAAGAGAAACTGTCATAAATTATGAACAAATAGAAACACAGTATGTGGGGTTAAATGCATTTTTAAAACAATGTTTACACGGAAAAGCGCGGGAGTTGATGTTGGTAGCAAAATAAGAAAGTTACTTACGATGCCGGCGTAGGTTTGTATATAAATAAAAAACAGAACAAGAACAACAAGCATATAAATGGGGCGTAGAAATGTTTAATTAAGAGAAGAGCTGAGCTCCAACAGCGCGCTAAATTGTGTTATAATTTTATTATTAGAGAAGAATAAACAAATGTTTAGTAAAATGTTGAAAATGCATAAATACACTTTCCAACATACATATACAAATATTAATATTTACGTCTATTTAAATATATCTATACTTATGTATACATACATATGTATGTATATGTATTATTCACTAACATATATATGCATACATATTATACATAACTTTCAACTACCTCACCGCATCATTTAATTTACCGTTAAATGCACAATATTGAATGCTATTTTCCTACGTAAACGCCCATTCCACATAAAGTGAACATAACCTCACTAAAATCTGACTGCAACAACAAATTCGCTTGCGTCCAATGAAACCGTCATCACCTTACCCAAACACGTACGCACATACACACATACATTTGTACTCATGCATCTGTGGTTTCAATTCGGATCCACTGAAGCGGAAATGCCAATCAGGCCACAGCAACAAATAATCACGCGACACCAGTTAAAATGCGCTCTGCCACCGCCACCGCTGTCCCGTTACATGCTAAGCCATTCAACACGATTAGTATACGTTGTCATATTATTCTACCTTTTTATTGGTTTTTTCTTTTCTGTTCTTGCTGTCGAGCAGAAAATCAGCAATATTTGTTTGAAATATGCATTATGTGTGCGTAGAGGAACTTGAAATGCGCCACAAACTGCGCTTTTGTTTGCTAAGCAAAACTCAGCATCAAAAGGGAAAAGTAGGGCGATAACAATACACAAATATGCGAATTGAACACTGTACATATGTAAATATGCACAGACCCTACCAGGGTCCATTTGTAAATACTGTGTTTTGGCTGAATATTTTCTATGTTCCAGCGAAACATACTAAACAGGGCTTTTATAACATTTTGTTAGCCAATAATGTCGGTAGTCTCCACTTTAGGCCAAATATGCAATGAATTTCCGATTGATCACTGCCTTCAAACTTACTGAAGTCGTCAATTAATCTGCTGCTGTCGAAAATTACTCAGGTAGCAATTAGTTCAGAGCCGGGCATTAGAAAAGCATTTAAAATTATTTACGAGGTTTTTGCCCCAACTCTTATATGGAAGGTTCTTTATTCTAGCAGGCTTCATCAACGGCACATTGTCATCGCCGTGGCAAATATTCTTATTTTGAATAAACTATAAAATAATTGAATATATATACTAACATCATTTCATTTGGAGCACATTTTTTAAATATCTTTTAAATATATATTTTGCATATCACCTGATAAATACCCGATCCAACTTCTTCAATATACAGTAGCAACCGCAGCTGCATAGATCTAGAATAGAAAATTTCCCTCGTAATCATCGTTATTCGTGTCTAAAGAATTATAGAAAGTAATTTTCGGCTCCCGAGTTTAAATTCTATCTCTCTTTGGTTTTTGCATTGCTCATCGTCAATCAACATTAACCTCTTTCTCCTTATTTAAGATAATGTCAGCCGAGCTGAAGATTCAGCCAATATTCTCAACCTATCTCTGTTTTAAAACGGCAGCATATTTTATATTTCCCACACCACATTAAAACAAAGAAGTCAGTCAAGGATAAATCATACTAAAATCATACTTTAATAGCAAAATGGACAGATGATCTTCCCAATGAGACTAAGCAGCTGGTAGTGCTCTATGAGAGTCTCTCTCTGGCGCACCTAAACCTTCGAAACATTTGATCCGAAGCATGATTATCGATTTACTGTGTGATGCTGAACGAACCTATCGCACCTAGTATATAATAATATATGTATGTATATATAATTATAATACAAATATTATTTGGTTGAGTTTTCATTGTTTGCTTCTTTGTTTGAGCACAAAAACTTACTTCAGAGTAAAGAAAAGTCCTTTTACATTATTGAAGTATTTAGCAGCGCCAACTGTCAAGTGTCAAACGTCAAGCCTTTTGACGGCTCCTAAATGGTAGCCCAGCACGTATTATTTGCATGATTTTTTGGCTTCGTTAGCACGCGTGAGGCCGCTTTCAAAGGTATGTAGGTTGTTGTTGTAAGTTATTGTTTGAAGCTCTAAAAATCTTCCATCGACCCTTTCATATAAATGTAGTATTATTAAATAATAGACAAATGAGGTTCTATAGCTAGCAATGAAGCTTAAGTGTTTAATTTGAAAATGTTTCGTGGCTGCACTCTCTTACTCATACATACTCAAAATATTCGTAATGAATCATGCAATCAATACGTCCAATTAATAATCTCCTAAGTTAGCTGCTCTTTCAGAAGAACTTATAAAAACCTCTCAGCCGTTAACAGTCTAGAAGTTACACAATATAGTAGAGCTGATTTCGGAAATCAAAGTCTTCTCTGCTGGAAGGATTATATTTTTAACTTCAATGTTTTTGGCTGTGATAACCTCGATCCCTCTCGTTTCAACTGAAACTAATTGCGCTCCGAAAAACCAAAAATTTAATATTACTATAGATGAATACAGGTAATGATCGAAATAATAAGATTTTGACAGTAATTACCATTTTTTAAGCCACTCCGACGTGTAAATTTCTTCACGAAAACGACTTTTGAGGGAAGCCGTTGTTCTGTAAAAATCAAAATTTTGACTAGTCCTTCGATCATTGTCTATATTCATCTATAATATTATTAAATTTGTGGGTTTTTCGATTTCAGATAATTTTAAGCAGAAAATCTTGCTCACTGCCAGACACATCTTTTCGGAGGTCCTTCAGGAGATCGGCTATGGGTACAAGCAAATTCTGTTAATTGGGTATTCTAGTGTAGAATTTCAAAAAAATCGATTTTTTTCCTTCATATTTTCAAAGTTAACCTATTTAAGAATATGTCTACTAGAGAATTTTTTTCGGCTGGATTTAATCTAACAAAATACCTTCAACGAAACTTGAAATGCGTTTTTCTCAGACCAGACTTTTTCAATACGATACCCACGATTTCTCGAGTTCTACTGGACCGATTTACTTGAAATTTTCCGAGAATCTTCTTTATAGACCTCTTTCGAGACTGAACTAGCCTCATCCCCAAATATTTTTACTATTTTTAAAAAATACGAGAAAATAAAAAAAAACGGTAAAAAAAATCGTTAGTTCATAGAATTGCGACATCATTGCAGATTGCTAATCTTTTTTTCATTTCAGATGTCTAGAAGGGTTTAAATCATGGGTATGCTCATGCGCCAATTTTTAGAGACCCCCCACTTCATCCGC